GGTGTACGTTGCGCGTTTTTGTGGTTGCAGACCTGTGGGATTCCTCCTGTCCCTCCCTGTACTCAGGCATCTCTCTGTGTGGCGTCTTCTTGCTTTTATGTGAGTTTATCATGTTTGTGTTTACGTGAGCAGCCAAAGACGGTAGTTTAGAGTTGGGTGTTGAAACCAGGGTTTAATCCAGTCTTGGGAAAAGTGTGAAATAAATAAAGAACCGTGTCTGGAATGTTTTAGAAATATTTTCATCATATAATATATCCATTTTATATGTATATATAAAATATATAATGATTGTTATACATTTACAGGCTGGGTTGATGCGTTCCCTAATGGATCCTACCTTATTGTCTATGGTGTAATCATAAAGTCTAGTTTTGTTGGTATTAGATGGATTATGATATGTAATTCTTTTAAATCATTTCTAGATCTACTTTATTTTCATTTCAACATGTGAGAAAATGTTTATGTTTATGTAATCTTCACCTCGACTGCTACAGTAAACTCTGGTCGTGTTTGTTCGCTGCTCTCCCCTGACTGAGAACATTGATGAATGATATATTTTATAAGTGGTAATAAAACTGGGATCCCTAGGCTCAAACTAAACGTCTGGTGTCAAGCTTAAATGGTACAACGTGTTCTTCTTCAGTGCAGCATGATTCAAGTTTTACACTTTCATTATCAGCAGCTGTGTGTTTCTCTCTACAGTGTGCACTCCCTTTGGCTTGTCCCGAATGTTCAGTGTAACCGGCAGCCTACTGGTCAAACCACGGGTGAGACGTCCTGCTGTAGTAGTAAATGTTAGACTGATGTGTGTTGTGTCAGAGCTCAGTGTAACGTCCTCTTTGAACTGCTCTGTTTTCTGTAGCTCTTGGAGGACGTGGAGGAGACGCTGAACTGCACCACGTTTGAAGAGAACTCACTCTCCAGGAAACTCAACTGTATGTTGATGTTTGGAATGACACGGTCGTCATTTTTCATGTGAGTTTAAAAGTGACTGATGGACCTTCTGCGTCCTTTGTTGGTGTGGTTGCAGGTAGCAATACATCGTGCTGGGTCAGACTGAACACAGAGGCGATGAAAACAGAGTACCAGGCGGTCAGGAGCAAACGCATCGCCCTGGGTGAGATGGACTGAACACACTGCTCTCTGCTGGCTTTCCCTTGTAATAACTATGTTGTATTTGGATTAATTGGATTAATTTTCTTTTTTGCTTACCACACAGAGATGCGAAGAAAAGCTTCACCATGGCAACGCAACCTGGGCTACCCTCTTGCCATGCTTGCCCTTCTTGCACTGACGGTATACATTAATCCAGACATTACTCTTTTTTTATGGGCACAAATTAGTATTTTATTTTATTTTTTTTAATTCTATTTAGGTGATGTGTGTGCTGATGGTCTGTTTTAATGTGCTTGAACTTCTCCTGGACGAGACGGCTTTACCCCGAGGAATGGAGGTGATTTTGTTTGACAGAATTGTAAATGTTTTGATAAACAGAGAGGATTAACCTAACCTAATGTTTGTCAATGTTTGTCCAAGGACCCACACCTGGGAATGGCCTCCTTCTCCATGTTCGGTTTACTGGGTGCTGCAGTTCAAGTCGTCCTCATCCTGTATCCTTTCAGTCCACGACTCGTGTTCACACACACAAAGGTTGTTGACTCGAGTCGATTTAGCTGAGACTCTGCCAACGACATGCTAACCCTCATCTCTGCTCCGAGGGTGTGATGTTGACTCTGCTTGTCCAGTCATCTTCAGTTGTTGTTTGAGCAGCAAAACAAAAATGCCGTTGGTTTGTTTATACGAGTTAGAAACATGTCAGAGTTCCAGCACATCTTCAGTTTTTAAACCACAAAGTTCAACTTTGATCCTGCACATTAATCTAGGACAACATTAAATGTCCATGCCCTGTGAATCTCCACATTCATTCAGGTTACCGTCTGTCTGAGTGAGTCAACTCCTGTACTTTCACGTGTTGTCCTTAAATGGAAACTCAGCTACTTGATGGTGTCATCGGTGGTTGGTTTCTACAGTTCTCCTCTCTTCACTGGCCTCCTGCCTCGTGCACAGGACACTAACCTCACCCAGGTAGTTGACGATCTACGTAAACGGTGTCCAATCTGTGCTGTGTTTACAAACCTCCATTATCTATACAACGCTGTCTCTTTCAGATCATTGCAAACTGCGTCTCGTTGCTCGTCCTGAGCTCAGCACTTCCCGTCTTTTCACGCACACTGGGTAAGAAAGTAGCATCAGGACGGTCCAAAAATAATCACGTTTGTTCTGAAAGACAAAAACTATTTACCCAGTCTGAATGTTCATCTACTGTGGTACGACTCTCCAAACCTGGTGACATGTAAAGTTCACTATATTGTATTGAATGTATTTTTGACCTGTTTATATAGTTAATATTGTTTGAATATATTCTAAATTCATTCTTTTACCAAAGGCTTCTTTGTTTGTATTTCACTGTATAAATAACAAGTATTTACTATAGTTAATTCGATCTCTGATGCCCTACAAACTGAGGCAGAGTTCAGCAGCGGTCTATATTCTCTTTTTTTTTTTCTCTCTCTATTAATTGTGACATTACAGGCTGTGAAACTGTAGCACAAAAACATTCTGCTTCAGTGACCGTTGTATCTTTTACATACATCTTTCAAACCTAAGAGAGACTCCTTGTGTCCTTGGTTTAGAGATTGTCCACAGGACTCACTGTTGTCTGACCTCAGCTCTTTGTCTTGGACCGTTAGCCAAAAAAACGCTGTCTTTTATGTGTCTGCTTTTGTAAACTAAATAAAAAACTGCAGCCAATCAGGCAGAGCTCTGTGACCTGGAACAAGAGCTTCATTCCTTTGAAACTACTGAAATTCTCCTTTAGAACTAAGTTTGTTAATTTTCCAGCTTGTTATTTATTTATTTGATTTATTTTTGCTGTAGGTATCCAGACTGGTATTTTCTGCACCATTTTAACTGTAATTTTAAAACTGACCACAGGAGGGCGTATGCATTACACAAAAACAGGGACTCTTGAGCTTCAGGGTTTTAACATGCTGGTCTTTGTTCTCCATTGTGACAGGAATCACCCGCTTCGATCTGCTGGGAGACTTTGGCCGATACAACTGGCTGGGAAACTTCTACATCGTCTTCCTGTACAACATGATGTTTGCTGGTCTCACCTCGGCCTCGCTCATCAAGACGGTCACCTGGGCCGTTCAGAGGGAGCTCATCCGTGCCTTCGGTCAGTCTCCTGTGACTTTACACTCATAAAGCACTGTGAATTAAAGTAAATTGAGTCAACTGAAATGATGGTGGTTGTGGTTGAGCAGGTTTCCCAAACCTTGGCTCTCTCTCCCAGTGGGCTGGTCTCTCTTCCTCAGATAGAAAGAATACAATTCTTTCAGGAAATTGGAAAGGGACAAGAGGAGAGTCAGGTCTCCTCTGGGACCTGGTGGGGGGGGGGCTCCACCTCCGACCCCCCCACAGAGCACACACACACACCCCTCCCC